GGATTGTAGGAGCGCCAATGCCGGACTCAGGCCCCCTGCCCCTCCTCCAGGACATGAACAAGCTGAGCGGAGGCGGCGGGCGCAGGACTCGGGTGGAAGGGGGCCAGCTGGGGGGCGAGGAGTGGACCCGCCACGGGAGCTTTGTCAATAAGCCCACGCGGGGCTGGCTGCACCCCAACGACAAAGTCATGGGACCTGGGGTTTCCTACTTGGTTCGGGTGAGTGTTCGTCTTCCCTGCCATTCCTCCTGTCTCATGCTCACTCACTCACGCTTCGCTGGAATTCCTTTTTTCCTGCTCTTCCCCAACAACCCGCTGTTTCAGAGTCCTAGCTCTTACCCCTTCCTTGCCCCCCGCTGTGGTTCGGGAGCCCCTAACCTTCCAGCTCTGTCTGGGCCCCCTACCGTCCAGTCCTTTGACTCCCCACCCCCACCCTGCCCTGCCCGGCATGGCAGAGTGTTGGAATGAGTGACTTTTGAGTCTCCCCTCCAGTCTCCTCCCCCTTTCTAGAGATGTCACTCCATCCCACCCAGTGCCCGCCACTTCCCTCCAAATTCTCTTCCTAAAGCTTGGGGTCCTCCAGGCTTGCCCTTTCTGGCTCTGTTCCCCGTTCCCTTATCCCCTGTTGTCTTGCACGGGCAGAGGGGGGCAGAACTTCCTCGTCTCCACACCCCAAGGGAGAAGTCCTAGGGCCCTTTGTGGAGGGTTGGGAGGTGCTGAGCCGTGCCCCACCCCTCTCCACAGTACATGGGCTGCGTGGAGGTCCTGCAGTCCATGCGTGCCCTGGACTTCAACACCCGGACTCAGGTCACCAGGTGAGTGTGGGGTGTGGGTCGCGGGAGTCACAGGACTAGTGAGGCCATGGGGAAGGGGAGGAAAGGAACGGTCGCTCTGTAGTGGTTCTAGTGGTGGCTTATCTTGGGGGGCATGGGATCAGAGAAAGCTTGGGGAGCGAGTCCACCTCTGAATGAAGAGGCAGCTGGCCACGATCCTCCTTACCTATACAGTCTTGGGAGCTCTGGGGGAGATGGCAGAAGTGACTGGCAGGTGGAGCCCGTGCCGAAAACGAGGTGGCTGGAAGGTCGCCGCTGTCTTTGGAAAGGGAATGGGATATTTGGTAGCTGGACGGGGTGGGGCTATACCCATTGAGGCCCTAACCCAATCAGCCAGGAAGCGGCCTCTCAGTGTCATCAAATATTAAAGGCCCTTAATTCAATCCACCACGACAAAGAGCCTGCCTGGAGTGCCCCGGGAGTCTGGCCTGGCCCTCCCCTCCCCCAGCCCTGTGGCAGCCCCAGCCTGGTGGGAGGCAGGCTGTGGATCTGAGTACCCCTCTGTCCCCAGGGAGGCCATCAGTCTGGTGTGTGAAGCAGTGCCGGGTGCTAAGGGGGCCACAAGAAGGAGAAAGGTACCTGGGTCCTTTGGGGTAGGGGTGCTACTACCCCTGGCGGGGCAGGGTGAGGCAAGTGTGGGCTTGTGGGTAGGAGGCCAGAATGCAGGAGTGTGAACCCCTGGGGTTGGGGGGTCCTCTGCTTCTGAGAACTGTGGGCCTTTCCCCAGCCCTGCAGCCGCCCGCTCAGCTCCATCCTGGGGAGGAGTAACCTGAAATTTGCTGGAATGCCAATCACTCTCACCGTCTCCACCAGCAGCCTCAACCTCATGGCCGCAGACTGCAAACAGGTTGGCGGGGGTGGGCAGGGGTCCAGAAACACCAGTGGGAGGAGGGCTAAGCAGAGTCTAGGTATGAGGGCAGGAACTGGGAGGGAGAGCTTGAGAGCAGCAGAGCTGGGGGAAAGGGAGACTGAGGGGGGCGTGGGGGTGGGAGGCACCCCCATGGGGCCTGAGCCTGCCTGACACATGTCATCCCCTCCCTTCATCCCCTGTCCTGATTCTCAGATCATTGCCAACCACCACATGCAATCTATCTCATTTGCGTCCGGTGGGGATCCGGTGAGTCCGGCAGTAGAGCAAAGGAGGTGGGGGGAAGAGAAGGGGCTCAGGGCTGGGGAGATGCTGAGCGCAGAAGTGGGGGTGCTGGGACTGCGGGAATAGCTGTGAAGGACTGGGCTTGAGGGGTCAGGAGTAAGATGGGGCTGTAAAATGGAGCTGACTGGCCTCTTCTGTCTACCCAGGACACAGCCGAGTATGTCGCCTACGTTGCCAAAGACCCCGTGAATCAGAGAGGTGAGGCGTGGGAGGGAGCGCAGGGTGGGGCCGCTGTCCTGAGGCAGGTGAGCAGGACCTGGGGTCGCGTTCCCCTGCTCTTACTGAGTAGAGCTAAGTAGGGGCTCCTGGCTGGGAGGGTGAGGACCCCAGCCCTGGTCCCAGCTGCCTCTCAGCAGCCCCATCTGAGCTCACTGAAGCCTCCGCCATGCCCCTAGCCTGCCACATCCTGGAGTGTCCTGAAGGGCTCGCCCAGGACGTCATCAGCACCATTGGCCAGGCCTTCGAGTTGCGCTTCAAACAGTACCTCAGGAACCCCCCCAAGCTGGTCACCCCCCATGACAGGTGAGCTGGGAGAGCAGAGGGCGGAGGGGCGGGGGCAGCCCTGGGAAAGGAGGCCTGCTCCCCACACTTGAGCGCAGAGAGGTTCAGGGAAGGAAATAACCTGTGTGCCCTGCTTCCCACTTCCTGCTATTCTCTCATTTCCTGTGGCCCGTCATGACGGTCTTCGGAGGCCCTGCCCGCTGCAGGCCGGCTCTTCCCTTGGCTGGCCCTGGTGGAGTTGCATTCCGACCTCTAACTGGCATCCTTTTCTCTGGCTACATGGGCTTTTCTAGCCCAACTTTCTGGTTTCAGACCCAACCCTTTCTTGCCCATTTCTTCTTCCTTCATTCTCTAGAAGCCATCAACAATTTGGATTAGAGAGATATCTCTTTTTCTTGAGATCTCTACCTTTCCCACCTAAGGCTTGAGGGGCAAGCGGTGGGACTGGCTAGGGCTATGTATTTAGGAGAGGTGAAAGTTCTGGAAGATCACCTCTCCATGCTTCTCATCTCTCTTTGGAGACAGTGTAGCGATCAAGGGTATGAGCTTTGGGGTGGCAGGTGGCATGGTGGTTAAGGCACTGGACTCCCATGTAATCAACTTTAGTTTGAGTCCTAGACCGGGGGGCTTGCTTTCCCTTTCTCTGGTGAATTAAAATGTAATAATAATAATGATAGATAAAATTAGGAGCTGGCAGGTGGCGTGGTGGTTAAGGGCACTGGACTCCCACATGGCCAACTACGGTTCGAGTCCTGGACCTGAAAGCTTGCTTTCTCTCTATGCCTGTCCCTCTCTGGTCAAATTAAAATAAATAAAGTTAAATAAAATGATTTCTTAAAAATTAAATTATAAAAAAATAAAGGCATGAGCTTTAAAGTCAAACCCAAATTTAAAGTATGAACTTTACATATTTAAAATATAAAACTTACATATTTGATAAGTTTTAATTTTTATTTATTTTTTTTTTCCCGTGAGTTAGAGAGCTAGCCAGCACTCCTAACAGGGTCTTGGTGCCATGATCCCCCTCCAGCTTTAGCCAGCCCCAGATCATGGGCCTGCTCGGGCGCCTGGCATACTCAGAGAGGTGTCCCGATGTGACCCCGAAACCTTCCCATGTCATGTTTTACGTGGCCTCCTCAGACCCGCATTTACATCTCAGCTCTGTTACCTTTTAGCTCGGAGAACTTGGGCCAGTCTTTTCACCTCTGACCCTTATTTTCCTACCTCTAAAATTGGGGAAGGAGACGGTACCTACCTATGTTACAGGGTGCATGGAGGGCGAAATGATTATGCAAAACACCCAGCCTCGCACCCAGCCCATGGTGGATGCCCGGTACGTGGTGTTCTGTTCCCTGCCTCCGTCCTCTGCCTACCACACTCTTACACCCCACTTCGGTCTCTGTCCTTCCTCTCAGGATGGCTGGCTTTGATGGCTCAGCCTGGGATGAGGAGGAGGAAGAGCCACCTGACCACCAGTACTACAATGACTTTCCGGGGAAGGAACCCCCTCTTGGTGGGGTGGTAGACATGAGGCTTCGGGAAGGACCTGCTCCAGGGGCTGCTCGACCTGCTCCACCCAGTACCAAGCCCCCCAGCCACTTGGGAGCTACACTGGTGAGTCGCTTGGATGGAGGTGGGCTGGACCCAGGATGCGAGTGGGTGGTTAGGGCTCTAGCCTCACCTTATTTTTATCCCTGCAGCCTGTGGGGCAGCCCGTTGGGGCAGATTCGGAAGTCTGCAAACAGATGCCACCTCCACCTTGCCCAGGTATGAAGGGAGCTGAGTGGGCAGAGCCAGGGCCACACGAGTCGGGGCTGGGATTGCTGGAGAACGTCTCTTTCCTCAGCAGGCAGAGAGCTCTTTGACGACCCCTCCTATGTCAACGTCCAGAACCTAGACAAGGCCCGGCAAGCAGGGGGTGGGGCCGGGCCCCCCAACCCCGCCATCAATGGCAGCGCGCCCCGGGACCTCTTTGACATGAGTGAGTGCTCTCTCCTTCCTGAGCCCCACCTTCCTACTTGGTTCCTCATAGGAGCCTCGCTCCTCCTTCCTTCCTGGCCTCGCCTCCCAGAAGGTCTAGGGCCTGGGCATATGTTGTGCCAGCTGCCTCTCCTAGCTCCCTCTCTACACCCCCAGAGCCCTTCGAAGATGCCCTCCGGGTGCCTCCACCTCTGCAGTCGGTGTCCATGGCTGAGCAGCTCCGAGGGGAGCCCTGGTTCCATGGGAAACTGAGCCGGCGGGAGGCTGAGGCACTGCTGCAGCTCAACGGGGACTTCCTGGTGCGGGAGAGCACGACCACGCCTGGCCAGTACGTGCTCACTGGCTTGCAGAGTGGGCAGCCCAAGCACCTGCTCCTGGTGGACCCTGAGGGTGTGGTGAGTGTGCAGAGGTATGGGTGGAGGGAGGCAGAAAGGAAGACATGGGACCTGCCATGAGCCCTGTGCTGTCTCTCACTGTGTCCCTCTCCCCCTCTCCTCTCTGGCCAGTCTTTGAATCCCCAAACCTTAAGCCCATCAGAGTTAGAAGGTGCTTATTTCATCTGTGCCCCCTTGCCTTTTTTTAAAAAAAAAAAAAAAAATTATTTTATTTTATTTTAATTTGACCAGAGAGGGATAGAGCAAGAGAGAGAGAGAGAAGGGAGAAAGCAAGCTGCCGGGTCTGGGACTTGAACCACGGTCAACCACGTGGGAGTCTAGCACCATTAACCACCACACCACCTGCTGGCTCCAACTTTGTTTTAAATTTTGAGCAGAGAGGGACAGAGTTGGTGGTGAGGGCAGTTAGAAAGCAATCTACCAGGTCTGGGACTCAAACCACAGTTGGCCATGTGGGAGTCCAGTGCCCCCACCCACCACGCCACCTGCTGGCACCCCTTCCCATTTTTTGAGAGGTTTTTGCCTTATGGTGTGTGCGTTTGTCAGAGACAGACAAAATGAGAGGGAAAGTGAAAAATCACACCCTCCCCTCCTTGGGGGATACCCACACTGCAATCCCTTCTCCATTTTCCTCCTGGGCTCTTAGGCATGTACACACATGTGCCCAGTGGCATTTTCAAGCCACCTGGTTCAGGACTCTAACCATGGTTGGCTATGTGGGAGTCCAGCGATGTAACCACTATGTTATCTGCTGGTCCCATGTACCTGTTTTTTAACCTTGGAAAAGGTGTGATGCCTAATGTTAGGTGGGCAGAGGCTGGAGATCCCAAATTTCATCTTGTAAGAGGAGCCAGGAGCCTCTCTCCCTCCCCAGACTCAGACAGACTGGTGTTTTTGTTCTTATTTTGACCTATTCCAGTGCCCTTCCAAACTTTTGGGGCTTTTTCTACAGCGCCCTCAGCCTCCTTTCCACTTTTTTTTTAAGTTTTGCTATAGGATGCATGCAATTGCCAGAGACCAACATAGAGAGATCTCTAAAGAGAGCAGGGGACCAGCAGTTGGCGTAATGGCTATTTTGCTGGACTCCCATGTAGTCGACCATGGTTCAAGTCCTGGACCCAGTGGCTTACACTCATGCCAGGCACGTGTGTGTGTGTGCATGCCCAAGATCCTGAGAGGAGAATGGAGGAGAAGGGATTGTGGCGTGTCTATGCCCCCTGGGGGGGGTGATTTCTTGCTTTCTGTCTCTCTATCTCTCTGTGTCTTTCTGGCGGGTGCACACGCTCTATAGCAAAAACCTCTCCAAAAAAAAAAAAAAA